AGCAGGATCGGACCACCACCGTCACGGCGCTGGTAGACCTTCGCTTCCGGCGGGATGCGGCCGGAATTGATGGCGTCCTGCGCATTGCCTTCGACCACCGCGCGGTATTCCAGGGTGGCGGTGGCGCCGATCATGCGCTTGGCTTCGGCGGTGTCCTGCACGCCCGGCAGCTGCACGACCACGCGGTCGGCACCCTGGCGCTGGATGATCGGCTCGGCCACGCCGAGCTGGTTCACGCGGTTGCGCAGGGTGTTGATGTTCTGCTCGATGGCGCCATTGGAGATCTGCGCGATCTCGGTATCCGGCACAGTCACTGTGATGCGGTTGCCGCTGACGTCATAGCCGAGGGTCGGCTGTGCCTTGACCAGGGCGGTGCGGGCACGCTGCGCGGCGTCATCGCCGGCAGACGGGCTCAGGTTGGCCACGATGCTGTTGTCAGCGCGGCGTTCCACCGACTGGTAGGCGATGCGCGCGTCACGCAGGGTGCTGCGCACGTCTTCGGTGTAGGCGTCCAGGCGCTTGTCGAGGGCGGCCTTCTGGTCGACCTGCAGCACGAAGTGCACGCCACCCTGCAGGTCCAGGCCCAGCACCATCGGGCGGCCGCCAAGCCTGGCAAGCCAGTCCGGCACGGTCGAGGCCAGGTTCAGGGCCACGGTGTACTTCTCGCCGACGGTGTCACGCAGGGCGTCGCTGGCAGCGGACTGCGACTTCAGGTCCGGCAGGCGGACGATCAGGCTGTCCCCTTCCTTCTCGACACCGATGGTGGTGACACCGGCCGTCTTCAGGTCGGCCAGCACACGGTCGCGCAGCGCATCGTCGATCTGCCCGCCACGGTTGGCGGTGATCTGGAGGGCCGGGTCCTTCTGGTAGATGTTGGGCAGCGCGTACAGCGCACTGAGCGCCAGTACGATCAGGATGACGACGTACTTCCAGCGTGGAAATTCGAGCATTGCTTGGGTCCCGCGCGGCGCCATCCCCGGCGCCGCGGTTGTGCTTCGGAAAGGGAGTGGCTTACTTGGCCGAATCCAGGGTGCCGGTCGGCAGCACGCTGCCAACAGCGCCCTTCTGCACGCGGATGCGCACGTTCTCGGCCACTTCGATGGTGATGAAGTTGTCGCCGATGTCGGTGACCTTGCCGGCGATGCCGCCGTTGGTCAGCACTTCGTCGCCACGCTTGATCTTCTCCAGCATGGACTTGTGCTCCTTCTGCCGCTTCATCTGCGGGCGGATCATCAGGAAGTACATGATGGCGATCAGGATGATCGGGAACAGCAGCGTGGTCAGGCCCATGCCCTGCGGTTGGCCGCCGGCGGCCTGGGCGTGGGCGGCGGGAATCAGGAAGGCAAGCAGGTTCATCGTTGGTCCTTTGGTTGGGCGGCGCTTCGGCACCATCAGATGCCACGGTCGCGACCGCGGATCTGGGTCAGCCTTGAAGTATGCCACGGCCCCGGGCGTTCGTCCTTGGGCCGTTTGGCAGGGGCGTTCGGGTTACAGCGGCGGGGCTACCGCCCCGCGTGCCGCGTAGAAAGACTCACGGAAGGCCAGGAAGGTTCCCGCCTCGATCGCCGCGCGGATGTCGGCCATGAGCTTCTCGTAGTAGAACAGGTTGTGCAGCGTGCCCAGCATCGGTGCCAGCATCTCGTTGCAGCGGTCCAGGTGGCGCAGGTAGGAACGGGTGTAGCCGCCGGTGCAGGCCACGCAGCCGCAGCCCGGCTCGATCGGGTCCAGTGATTTGGCTTTTCAGATCCCTGATTTCTAAACTGTACATGCCTGAGCATTCTGTCATGTGCACATGCTAGTGTTATGTGGACAGACATGCATGCTTGTGCAACATCTGTCACTTAATGGTCAAAGTAACTGTGCCTTTAACCACCTCAAAATATGCAGGATATCTATCAATGTCAAGACATGCACTCAACTTTATTGTGGAAGGTCTTCAATCTCCAGTGCCGAATCATGTTGTTTGTGAGGTAAATTGCCTTGTGAGTATTATATTCCACACCTATCAGTTTATCCTGTATGATAGACTTTCTTAGGTTTTGCTTTTAAAAATGTTCTCGTGTTTTTTAAGTTTAGGTTTGACTTAACATACAAATTTCTAGTGAAAATGCATGGAATTCTCCCAATCTTCCTGGCTCTAACTACATAACTTGTATTGTGATAATTTTGTTTACTAACCATCAGCAGCTATACCATTCACCATTTCTTTCCTTTGATTTCCTTGTGAAACCTGAGCTGATGTGATTTCATGAAATACTTCGACTCTGTTCAAGGGTTCATTCTTCAGAAATATCATTTAAACATGTGAACATGATGGAAACTTTGAGTCTCATTATTCCTGTGATGTTTCCTTTTATACTTTCTATAGTTGCTCCCACCTTTGGAGTTCTGTTCTGGTAGGTTCTCTTCTAGGGATTTAAATGACCCTCTGGGGTTGGAGGTGGCGTGCATAAAATTCAGTTTGGAGTGGAAATTATTTGTCATCTTAAGATAAACTTAAAAGTTTGCAAAGAATTACTTAGATTTTCCTTGTGGTTGAATAATAAGTGGGTGCTTTGAGTCACTCTCGAATCTAAACATTTATGGGTGGGTATTATGTAGGCCTTATTGCGATATCCCTCTTGTATCTACTTTCTCACAATTTAAAGAGTTTTTATGCTTCCGAAAACACTCAAGAAATTTTGTGTCAAATGTAGGATGGCTTTCTGGAGGAGACTAATTTGTGGGGAAGCTGAAAGACGTGCTGTTGTGTCATTATAAGCTGCATCTTAAGTTATTTTGAAATAATAAAACGAAGAACATGTCAAGGCATTGAAAGGTTTTGGACAGCGTTGATAAATTATGTACTTGTGAAGGAAAATGATTTGAATAATGGATGTTTCCTATTATAGTTTGCTTCCCTCACACCAGAAAGGACGGCGAAAACTACGGGGTTTCGCCCTAATGGTTTGTAATAATTTGAAGTTTTGAGGACAGTGTCAGGATGTTGTGGTGCATCATACTGGTGTTGCCTCTGTATAAAAGTTTTGAACTTTGAGGTATACATGATATTTGATACAATGTAATTCATTTGTACCTAAGCCATGTACATCTTATGACGATTACAAAGTGGAATTTATTTTACCGCTTCCATCACAAAGCTTGAAATTGTTGGTGGCATTTGTTTGGTTCTCGACCTCCACATCTCATATGCTATTTTCTTATTCAAGGTCCTCTTTGTTATGTTTGCTTCAGATACGATATTTTCACACAAATTGCTTAATCTATGTATGGAATCTAATGTGAAAATAGGTCCAAGTTCGTAATGACAGAATTCTAGCTGCTAGATTTCCATGTGAACCTGATTTCTTTCTTCTGTTTTAGGCCAGATTTCTAGTGTCTGGTAGTTTATTTGGTGTAAATGCTCATGTTAGTTTTTTGGGTTAAATTCTAGGTTGAAAGCCCAATTAAATCAAGCGAGACAAGGTTGATTCAATTTTGTTATAATACAAACTATAATAAAGTCCTACAGGAAGGTCATTAATAAGAAGACTAGATGATCTATCAAATAAACTTATGGATAAATCATAATTGACTAGCTAATTCATTATTGAATTTGCTTTTTTATAGACATGAAACGCACGCACCTCCCAATCTTTTGATAATAAATCTCTTGCCTATATAATTAAATTATAGTTCTTGTCAATGTTAATCTTATCTTTAATGATTAAATCAACAACAAGGTAGAATCTAATTCCAAAATAATTTGTTGGAATACCTTGGACCAAGCTAATTTTAAATAATTGGTAACTCCTTATAGTTCCATATATATTACTATATAAATCCCATTTAATATCCACATTCCCACGTCATCCTTTATGACTCTATCAACACCACCACCAGCCACCTTTGGTTCCTTTATTACAACCATCTACATTAATCTCCATCTAACTTATTGGAGGGTATATCTATTGGTTGGGACACTAAATGCATACCATAAACTACATGAGTATATGGACAGAAATGACATAGAATGACCTAGCTTATCACACTTTGGTTGAGAGATTAAGATCATTTGAGCCTATCTTATTGTTATTTTATTTATTTGAAATTATTTATGCTAAACAATTTGATTTGATGGATCGAGCCTAATAGTAAGATGTTTTAGGGTTTACTATTTATATGTTCCTCTGTTATTTTGTGAGACAGTTTTGATAATTAATGAAAAATTTACAGACTTTGCATATCTTCAATCCCCATTCCTTTCCTTTTTTGCTTCCACTTCTTAGCTTCTTCTCTAAAAGCTTCTTTAGTTTCTTACTTTAATTCTTATTATTTATTGACCCGGATCAAATTTAGTATCAGAGCATGACTTTTAATTATTTTTACAATTAAACAATCCACATGTTTATGCTTAACCCTAGATTCGGTTTGATCTAAAAAAATTATACCATTCTGATTTTTAAAAAAAATTGTTCATCAATACTGTTCATCATCAATGACAACAATCAAATTTTTAGTAACGGCACCTCAGCTAATCACAGCGGTAGACCCACCACTGAGAAGACTTGGATATCAGTCCACCGATCCAAGCTAATTTACTACCTCCGACATAGACCAGCGACAACCACCAGATTTACACCGTAAGAGACATCAATAGATCTCTAGCTTCAACAACCAAACCAGCGGCACAAAACCACCAGCCACAACCACCTATAAACCTATCACCACCAATACCGACTAGTGGTTCACCTTAGCAAAGGTAGCGCCCCAGCCAGGTCGTCCTCTTCAGCGCCAGCAATAGAGCTTCAACTACCATCGTCCACAGTGTCCTCGCCCTCAACCACTAACAATAGACAGAGTAATAGCACCGACCGACAGCAATCACCACCTTCAATAGACTGCAGTTGTCATTACCTTTAGTAGTTATGCCTCGCCGCCAGCAAATAACAAAAGAAAAATCAGCAATTGCAATACAAAAAAAGAAATTCAAGGCAAAATAATTAACCCTGCCATGTTAGCACTCCCGAGGCAACATCTACATTATCAGCCACGTCAGCAAATTCTACCACATCATCTAACACGTAATCCTTTATTGCCATATCACCTAGTCAGAAATTCTTTTACCCATTGAATATCATCATTTCTGATATGCTTTTACACTTGTTAACTAAGATTTAACATTAATATTATTCTTTGCGCTTGCCCATAAATAAGTTACATAGTCCGCCTCGCAAATTGAATTACCTTAATTTTAGGTTTGTTTATTGGCATTGAGTATCTGATCCTCTTAGTTAATTGTGGAGCTTGATTAAATTCATGGGAAAACTGAAACATTATGTTTGGATTACTTGTGTGCATTTAAAGGACTTACATTGCTTGCTTGTGAATTTTCTTAGTTTAATTTGTCATTACTTAGTCTCCAAGATAAAATAATAATAATAATAATAAAATAATTTTTTTAAAATATTAACTATAATTTTATTTTTTGTTTTTACTTGCAAGTGTTATTTGTGATCTCAATCTTAGGATTAGTTTTTGCATGCATTTACATAGTGGTCGTCTAGAACACAATCTAAAAGTCATAGCTACCATGGATCTGAACTATAATAATGTTCTTAGAGATATTCAAGAGCAATTATAACTTATGCGAATGGAAATGAGCAACATGTCCAATCAGATGAACAACCTTTCTAGGAGAATGGAGTCCATAAAAACTTTGCAAGTACGACAGTCTAGTGAGAGTGAGCATTCTAATGACAACCATAGGATTCCTCACCGCCACCATAACCAACACCAGGGTCACAATGACTTTGATGACCCTAATGATAGTGAGCATTTTAATGATTACTGTCAAAGACCAACTCATCTTAGGAATCATTAATACAACTGCAATCAAGATCATCATGATTACAATAACCCTGACGAGCGAGTCATGAGGCATATCAAGGTAAAAGCCTCAACTTTTAAAGGTCAACTTGACCCGTGGATCTTTGATAGATGGATTCGTGATATGGATCAATTCTTTGGCTGGTATAATCTATCTGAGAATAAGAGGGTAAGATTGGCTGGTATAATCTATCATTAGATTAGGATTTGTCCAAGAGATGAGTGGAAAATGACATTTAAGACTAAGAATGGTTTATATGAATGACTAGTCATGCCTTTTAGCCTTTTCAATGCGCCAAGCACTTTTATAAGAGTAATGACACAAGTGTTTAGGCCATTTATGAGAAAGTTCTTGGTGGTATACTTTAATGATATTCTTATTTATAACAAAACCAAGAAAGAGCATTTCAATCACCTTATTCATGTTTGTACCACCCTAAGAAAGGCAAGTTTGTTTGCAAATATCAAAAAAGTGTTTCTTCTTTACAGATTAAGTGGTTTTTCAAAGGTTTATAGTATCATGAAAAGGAGTCTTTGCTAAACCTAAGAGAGTCCAAAAGATAGTAGATTGATTTGAGCCTAACACTATTCATGAGGTTTGTAGTTTTCATGGGCTTACGACTTTCTATTGTCGTTTCATTAAAGGATTTAGCACCATCATGTCGCTTATTACATATTGTTTGAAACAAAGTGTGTTTCAATGGTGTAAAGGAGCTAATAAGGCTTTTGAGAAGGTTAAGAAAAGGATGACGAAGGCCTTAGTAATGTGCCTACCTAACTTTACTAAGGTGTTTGAAGTAGAATGTAATGCTTCTGTTAGCATAGTTTTTTCCAGTAGAATCATTAGTTTTCATATACATATTTGTTATTTATGTCAAGAAAACAGCTATAAATATTTGTGTAATCATAAGGTAATTAGCTTTCTATAATTAGGTCGAGATTATAGTTAATAGTAGTAGATTTTATGGAATGTAAATCAAAATTCTTTCTATTTAATGAAAGAGACTCTCATGAAGGGAGGTTATTCAGCCAAATTCATATAGTATTAGAGCCATACTTTTGAATCTACATTCTAAAGTCTTGGCTTAGTTTTTCTTGATTGAGTTTTGGTCAATTCTGGATACATAGGGCTCTTAGTTTCCTTTTTTTTTTTTCCTTTGATTCTTGGTTATCTTTTGGGTTTTGGATTTTTTTTATTCCTTTTTTTTTTGTTTATCAAAACAATGACATCAAACAATTCTGATTTGTTTAGTATTCTATTCACTGGAAAGAATTATTCTGCCTGGGAATTTTAGTTTTAAGTATTTGTCACAGGGAAGAAATTATGGGGTCATGTGGATGGCAGTGATCCAACTCCTACTGATTTTGCAAAGTTGCTTCAATGGAAGGTCAAGGATGCTCGGGTAATGTCTTGGATTTTAGGGTATGTTGATCCTCTTATTGTTCTTAATCTAAGGCTATATAAAACAACAAAAACCATGTGGGAGTACCTGTGGGAGTACCTGAAGAAGGTTTACTATCAAAACAATAATGCTAGACATTTTCAATTAGAAAACGAAGTCTTTAATTATTCTCAATGCAATCTTTCCATTCAGGATTATTATTCTGGTTTTCAAAATTTATAGGCAGAATATACTGATATTATTTATGCCAAAATACCAACAAAACCTCTCTATGTTGTTTAATAGGTTTATGAGCAAAGTAAGCGTGATCAATTTTTAATGAAATTGCAATATGAATTTGAGATTACTTGCTCAAATTTAATGAATCAAGATCGTTTACCTTCCTTGGATGTTTGTCTTGGGGAATTACTACGTGAAGAACAACGTATTCTTACACAAGGCAATTTCAAACAAGAAAATTCAATTGTAGTTGCTTTTGCAGCTTAGGGAAAAGGAAAGGGTCAGAATATAAGCAATATATAGTGCTATAGCTGCAAAAAAATATGAACACATTGCTAACAATTGTAGAAAGAAGTTCTGCAATTATTGCAAACAACAAAGCTATATTATCAAAGAGTGTCCCACTTGTCCTCAAAATCATAGAATAAATGCTTTTTAAGCTATGGTGTTTGACAACTCATTTACGACAGCTACATCCAGTACTCCTACTCCTGAAATGGTATAACAGATGATTCTTACAGTTTTTTCAGCCTTAGGGCTAGAAGGTAATAATTCCAATTCTCAATTTTGGCTTGCTGATTCTACTGCCTCAAATCATATGACTAACTCATCTAGTATGTTTAAAAATATGCGTGAGTATCATGGTTCATCATCAATTCAGATTACTCATGGTGATCATATATCCATTACTAAGGTTGGAGATATCGATCTAACTTTCAAAAATGTTTTTGTATCACCAAAGTTGTTTACTAGTCTTCTTCTAGTTGGTCAATTGATGGATGATAACTGTGATGCACATTTTTCTTGTAATAGCTGTTTGTACAGAATTAGGTATCGGGGAAGGTAATTGCGAAGGGGCCTAAAGTTGGAAGATTATTTTCGCTGTATTTTTTCATTCATCGTTGTCCATCTTTTGCTTGTACTACTGTTCAAAATAAGAGTGAAGTATGACATAAATGTTTAGGCTAGCCGAACTCTATTGTTTTGTTTCATTTGTTGAATTTTGATTTATTAGGAAATAAAACTAAATTTTCTTCTCATGATGTTTTGTTTGACTGTTCTACATGTAAATTAGGCAAGAGTAAAACTCTTCCTTTGCCTTTCCATAACAGTCATGCTACAAAATGCTTTGATATTATTCATAGTGATGTTTGGGGTCCTGCACCACTTATTTCTCATGCTCATTACAAGTATTTTGTGACATTTATTGATGATTACACTCGGTTTACTTGGGTGTATTTTTCTCATTCCAAATCTGAGGTCTTTTTTGTTTTCAAGTCATTTTTTACCTATATTGAGACTCAATTTTCTATTGGTATTGAGGTATTAAGATCTGATTCAGGTGGGGAATATATGTCACATGAATTTCATGATTTTTTACAGCAGAAAGGTATTGTCTCGCATCATTCATATCCATATACACCACAACAAAATAGGGTTGCTGAGCGTAAAAACCTTATTACTTGAGTCTTCTATACCATCTAAATTCTGGATTGAAGCCTTGTCTACTATAGTTTATTTAATCAATCGATTGCCATCATAGGTGTTAAATTTTGATTCCTCATACTATTGTCTACATCATAAGTTCCTAGCTATTATGACTTGCATACTTTTGGTTGTGTTTGCTTTTTTCATTTGCCTTCTTATGAACGACACAAACTTTTTACTCAGTCTACTAAATGTGTCTTTTTAGGTTATAGTATTTCTTATAAAGGTTTTGTTTGTTATGATCTAAGCTGTAGCAAATTTCATATTTTTAGAAATGTTGTCTTCTTTGAAAATCAATATTTCTTCCCTACTCATGTTGAATCTTCCTTTGTTGCTCCTATTTTTCCTCTTTTTGAGGATGTGTCATTTTTTAAGCGGTTGAAGCCTGGAATTATGTACGAAAGACATTGACTAACTTTGCCACTTCTTAAGATTGACACACCACCTGATATTGATCCTGAGATTACTTTTAAGCCTTGTACTCATCAGCCTGCTCTTCGCCGCTCTACAAGAGTATCTTATCCTTTTGATCGGTATGGTTTTTCTGCTACTCTATCCACTATTATTATTCCATCATGTTACTTACAAGCTGTCCAACATGAGCTTTGCTCTTGAAAATAGACAAGAGTATGGTGTGGACTATAAGGAGACTTTTTCTCCTGTAGTAAAAATGACTACAATGAGCATTATTATTGTCATTAGTGCTTTCTAAGTTGATGTATGTTTCTTGGTGATTTCTTGATATCTTGGAAGAGTAAGAAACAAGATCATGTTTCTAAATCTTCGACTGAGTTTGAATATAGAGCCATGTCAGCTGCTTGCTCTGAGGTTGTTTGGCTTTATGGATTGCTTGTAGAAATTGGATTTCCCCAGACTACTCCTACTTTTCTTCATGCTGACAACACTAATGCTCTTCAGATTGCTACTAATCCTGTTTTCCATGAGCGTACCTAGCATATCGAAGTGGATTGTCATTCTACTTGAGAAGTCATAGATACTCATATTATTTCTCTTTCACATATCTCCACCAACCTTCAAATAGCTGATGTGTTTACCAAATTAATGACTCATCAATGCCATTAGTTTCTAATTGGCAAATTAATGCTTCTTGATCACCCAACATCAATTTGATGGGGGATGTTAATAGAGTTCTTTTCAGTAGAATCATTAGTTTCCATATACATATTTGTTATTTATGTTAAGAAAACAATTTTAAATATTTATGTAATCATAGAGTAATTAGCTTTCTATAATTAGACCAAGATTATAGTTAATAGTAGCAGATTTTATGGAATATAAATCTGAATTCTTCCTATTTAATAGAAGAGACTCTTATGAAGGGAAGTCATTCAGCCAAATTGACAGCTTAAGGAGTCGGTATAGGTGGAGTACTTAGTCAAGAACGTCACCCTATAACCTATTTTAGTAAGAAACTTAATGAGGTAAAACAAAAGTACTTAACTTATGATAAAGAATTTTATGCGGTATTTCAGGCCTTGTGCTATTGGCGCCATTACTTGTTACCATAGGAGTTTGTTTTTTACTCCGACCATGAGGCCCTCCACTATCTTAACTCCCAAAAGAAGCTTAATCACAGGCATGGTCATTGGGTTGAATATTTGTAAGCATATTCATTTATTTTAAAACATAAATCTGGAATAGAGAATAAAACTGCAGATATCTTGAGTCGTCGGGTAATGTTGTTATCTATGATAAGTGTTGAAGTCACAGAATTTGAGAGACTCAAAGATGAGTATGAATCTTGGTTAGAATTTGGAGAAATATACTTGACATTGAAGGATGAGAATCACAGTCTTATAAATGGTTATCACCTCCAAGATGGATATTTATTTCGGGATAATAAGCTTTGTATCCTAAAAATATCTGTGCGTGAATTTTTAATATGAGAGATTCATACTGGAGGTCTTTCAGGATATTTTGGAAGAAATAAAACCATTGAAGAGGTGAAACGTTAATTTTTTTTTTTGTCTAGTTTGAAAAGATATATTGCTAAATTAGTAGGTTAGTGTCGAACTTGCTAATTAGCTAAGTATAGAAAACAAAATACTGGTCTTTACACCCCGTTGCCCGTTCACATTTGCCCTTAGCAAGATGTAAGCATGGTTTTTGTGTTTGGACTTCCATGTATTGTAAAGAAACATAATTTTATTTTTATGGTTATCGACCGTTTTTCTAAGATGACCCATTTTATTCATTATACCAAGACCGCATATGCTTCTAGAGTTGTGAAACTCTATTTTGACGAGATTGTCAAGTTATATGGTCTTTCCCAAACCATAGTCTCGGATAAGGATGTTAAATTTACAAGTTATTTCTGGAAAACCCTTTGGCATATGGTGGGAACCAAATTGAAGTTTTCTACTGCTTACCACCCCTAAAATGATGGTAAACTGAGGTGGTTAACAAGAGTTTAGGCAATCTTTTAAGGTGTATAGTGAGTGATCATAATAGGAATTGGGATTTGATTCTTTTTATAGCTCAGTTTGCTAATAATAGCTATATCAATAGGTCAATAGGCATGAGTCCCTTTGAAGCTGTACATGGTTATAAGTCTAGGAGAACTTTAGACCTTCTTCTCATGTCCCTCCCTTCATGCTAAAGTGTCTGAGTTAGCCGAGCCTTTTTCACATAGAATTCAGGATTTGCACATTGAGATTACTAAACAAATTCAAAAAAGAAATTTGTAATAACTTCAAGCTAATTTACATAGATAACATAATAAATTTAATATGAAAGACTATGTTATGATACGAATTAGACCCGAGCGGTTTTCTTCAGGAGCTAATTGAAAATTACATGTACATAGTGTCGGGCCTTTCAAAGTGCTACAATGGGTTAGTCCAAATGCTTATTTCTTGATTTACCATATGATTTTTGCATTAGCTCTACATTTAATATTAAGGATCTAGTTGCATGCCATAAGCCATTTCCTATTCCAAATGATCCATTTGAGATACCACTTAACTCCCCTCCTAATAATCTTATTGAAACCTCTATCCCTTTCACCTTGACATCAGCATAAAAGGATAATATTGATGCTATATTAGATGAACAAGTTGTTTTTAAAATGAATTTTGAGTTTCAATGGTTTCTAATTCATTGGGTGTGTTGACCTGATTCAGATTGCACTTGGATCACTAGAGATAATTTACAGCAGCTTGGTCCAAATCTTTGTGAGTGCTATCAGAGTCAGCGAGTGCTACACTCGACGGGGTCGAGTTTCCCCAACCTCAGGAGAGTTGATGGGGAGACCAAACCCTCACCGTACACTACACGAGTATACGAACGAAGACAACGAAGGATGACCTAGCCTATTGATTAGTACTTAAAAGTGTATTTTTATCAAGGTTTTACTAATAATCTTATTGAAACCTCTATCCCTTTCACCTTGACATCAGCATAAAAGGATAATATTGATGCTATATTAGATGAACAAGTTGTTTTTAAAATGAATTTTGAGTTTCAATGGTTTCTAATTCATTGGGTGTGTTGACCTGATTCAGATTGCACTTGGATCACTAGAGATAATTTGTAGCAGCTTGATCCAAATCTTTGGGAGTACTATCAAAGTTAGCGAGTGCTACACTTGACGAGGTCGAGTTTCCTCAACCCTGGGAGAGTTGGCGGGGACACCAAACCCTCACCGCAAACTACACGACTATACGGACGGAGACAATGAAGGATGTCCTAGCCTGTCATGCTTTGGTTGAGAGACTAAGCCTATTTGAGCCTATCTCATTGTTATTTTATTTATTTGAAATTATTTATATCAAACAATTTGATTTGATGGGTCGAGCCTAATAGCGAGATGTTTTAGGGTTTACTATTTATATGTTTATCTGTCATTTTGTGAGATAATTTTAATGATTAATGAAAAAATTTGCAAACTTTGCATATCTCCAATCCCCATTCTTTTCTTTCTTTGCTTTCACTTCTCAGCTTCTTCTCTAAAAACTTCTTTCTTTTTTTACTTTAATTCTTATTATTTATGGTCCCACATCATCCATCCTATAAAATCCATATGCTTGATATTATTTATGTTTCCAGATTCACCAAACATAAATTGTTTGATATCATCAACTAGCCTTCTGATTACATGAATAATGTTATAGGAAGAATTAGCAATAGAACAAAAAATTTATTAGTTTCTTTCCTTCCATATCTGCTATAATGCAACCCCGAATTCAATCGCCCAACCCTTCCTACTAGAATTCATATGATCACTTCTTAAATTGTTTACTAGCTAGGTGTACCGGTTGTGGGAGCAGAAAACCTCCATTTCTCCAACCCTAACAATTTTATCCCAAACCCCACGTGCTCTTAGGCAATCTCGAAAAGCATGGATAATTGTTTCCACATCCGTCAAGCACTGACTATAAAAATGGTTAGCTATAATTCTTCTTCTCTATCTAACTTTATTTGTCATAATAGCATTATGAGTGATTGTCCAAAGGAAGACTTTCACTCCTTCCAATTCTAAATGATGTTTCACAAAGGGTCATATTCTTGTTGAAAATCTCTACTCTCTTGTTAGACTAATACGTTGATTTATCTGAGAATTGGCCACCTGTAGAATGCCTTCAGTAAGCTTTATATTTGGACCTTTCCCATTGTTATTTTATTTGTTTGAAATTATTTATATTAAACAGTTTGATTTGATGGGCCGAGCGAGATATTTTAGGGTTTACTATTTATATGTTTCTCTGTCATTTTGTGAGATAATTTTGATGATTAATGAAAAATTTATAAACTTTGCATATCTCCAATCCCTATTTTTCTTTTTCTTTGCTTTCACTTATCAGCTTCTTCTTTAAAAGTTTCTCTTTTTTTTTACTTTAATTTTTATTATTTATTGTCCCGCATCCTCCATCCTATAAAATCCATATGCTTGATATTACTTATGTTTCCAGATTCACCAAACATAAATTGTTTGATATCATTAACAATCCTCCTGATTACATAAATAATGTTATGGGAAGAATTAGCAGCAGAACAAAAAATTTATTGGTTCTTTCCTTCCATATCTGTTATAATGCAACCCCAAATTCAATTGCCCAATCCTTCCTACTAGAATTCATATGATTACTTCTTAAATTGTTTACTAGCTAGGTGTACCAGTTGTGGGAGTAGAAAACCTCCATTTCTCCAACCCTAGCAATTCTATCCCAAACCCCACGTGCTCTTAGGCAATCTCAAAGAGGATGGATGATTGTTTCCACATCTGTCAAGCAATGACTATAAAAATGGTTAGCTATAATTCTTCTTCTCTATCTAACTTTATTTGTCATAATAGCATTATGAGTGATTGTCCAAAGGAAGACTTTCACTCCTTCCAATTCTAAATGATGTTTCACAAAGGGTCATATTCTTGTTAAAAATCTATACTCTCTTCTTAGACTAATATGTTGATTTAACTGAGAATTGGCCACCTGCAGAATGTCTTCAATAAGCTTTATCTCCCCCATATATGATGAAGGAGGATTGTAACCTGCCAAGACCATAACCATCTGGAATGGAAGTAAATGAGCAAATGTTTCCCACATCTATTGGCCTTCATTATCCACCATATCAGCTATCGAGCAATTCAACAAATCCTCAGGAATGTCCTGAATAGTATACAGATTCAAAGAGTCATACCCTTTCAACCAAGAGTCTTCAAAACAACACCTTTCTTCCACAATCCAAAGCTCAATTTAAACCTTGTATTGTATAAGGCCATACTTACAAATACCCTTTCACAAAGTTGAATCTTTTTTCTTTTCTTGAAAACTTGGATTGAGATCTTGCTCCTTTAACATACTTATACCTTAAGACCCGCACCTATAAACTATCACCATTCTAGAATACTCCTTAGGCCACTTCCATAATAAAAGCCCCATTCATGCTATCCATTTTCCTTAAACCCATACCCTCTACTTCCTTAGGTTGGTACATAGTTTTTCAATTTACCAAATGCACCTTATCTCTCCTATCCTTTTGACCCTAGATGAATCTCCTACACAACTTCTCAATGTCATAACAAATGCTCTTTGGGAGCAATGCCGATTGCATAGGATAAAGAGGAACTTTGGAGAGCACTGCCTTACATAAGGTAGTCTTCTTGCAAGAGATAAGTTATTTGATTTGCACCCACCAAGTTTTCTTTGCAAGTTTTCAATAATATAATTGTAGGTCTGCTTCGTTTCTCTTTAATGAAGCAGGGGTACACCAAGATACTTCCCCAAATCTTTCGTAGTCTTAAAACCACTGATTCTGCTAATGTTATTGGTTATAGCATGAGAAACATTCTTCGAAAAGAAGATTTTGGTCTTAGCCATATTAACTCTCTGACCTGAAACTTCACAAAGGATTCCAAACAACCTAAAATCCTATCCATTTGATCAGTACTGGCTTTAGCAAATAAAAGCATATCATCTGCAAAACATAGATAAGAAGCACAAGGACCATTTCTTTTGACTCTGAAAGGTCTGCAAAACATAGATAAGAAGGACCATTTCTTTTGACTCTGAAAGGTCACCAAGTTCCCTGCTCAGCCTCCCTGTTAATAAGTTTCGGCAATCTTTCAAGACATAAAACAAATATATAAGGGGATAATGAGTCCCCCTGTCTTATACCTCGAGATGGATTAAAAGCCGCAGTAGGTTTACCATTCCATAACATATTAATAGATGTAGATTAAATGCATTTCATAATCAAATTAACAATATCAACTAACAATCTTACCCAGTAACAGTATTTGTAATGAAATCCCACTGTAATTTATCATAAGCCTTTTCCAGATCCACCCCGATAGCTATCATTCTCTTTCTCCTTTTCATTTATCTCATAGATTGCACTACCTTTTAGGCCACTATGATACTATTTGTAATAATCCTATCTAGAACAAAACTACTTTGGGCCTTACTAATCAGATTCAACAAGATCAATTTGAGTTTCTTCACAATAATCTTAGCCACTATCCTGACGCTAACATTGCATAGACCAATTGGTCTAAACTAGTAGAGATATTCTGGGACATTCATTTTCAGAATAAGAATCAAATGAGTTTGATTCACCTCTGCCACTTTAGACTGCCCATGAAAAATGTTTTTGATAAACTCACACACTGACTGGCCTCCTACTGTCCACTAAGATTGGTAAAAAAAGGCTGGAAACCATTTGGCCCAGGTGTAGCATAAGGCTTCATGTCAAAGATTGCAGCCCTAACCTCCTCATCAGATACTGGCTCTGCTAACTGACTTAAGTGAGCTTGATCAATCTCTGGAAAATTGTCATGAAGCTTAACTCCCTAAACCAAGGAATCCTCTCTTTTAAACAAATTCTGACAAAACAACCTGGTCATATCCCTTAAAAAACCCTTATCCTCCACCCAAACATTACTGTTATTTTTCAGCATTCTGATCTTATTCCTCTGCCTCCTGATGACTGTCTTTGTGTGGAAGTAGGAAGAATTTTGTCCCCATAAATAATCCATCTACATCTCAACTTCTGAAACCAATGAATTTCCTCATTCCTGGTAATCTGATAGTACTCTGCTAACAACTTATTCTTCAATCTGCCCAAAAATCTATTCCTAGACTTTGGTAAAGATTTCTGGATCCCATTGAGCCTAGTCAGTACCCTCCACTTCCGTTGGAAAATATTGCCAAAAACAAATCTGTTCCAATCTTTCAATTGGAGAGTCAGAGAATCCAAATTATCAGTTAAATGCCTCCTACATTCCCAGTGACTCCGGATAAAAGCTGCAAAATTTTCATGACTTCCCCAGGCTGCCTTAAAACAAAACAATCTGACATTATACTGTCTGTTACTCTGGTCTAACAATTCCACCAAAATAGGGTGGTGATCAGATCGAACTCTAGGTAACATTCTGATTCTAGCTTCCTGAAATTTTATCCTCCATTGATGATTCCTAAAACCTCTAATTAACCTCTCATAAACCCTGCTATAACCCAGTGTTTCAACTCCTTCCAAAGTGAATTTATGTCCATTAACTCCCTAAATTTACCAATCTACAATCTTGCACCCATCTCCCAAATCTAATACATCTTCTCATATCTACTGCTACCCGGAACCTTCTTCAAGACCAATAAAATATCATTAAAATCTCTCACTACCATCCAAGCAGGACAATATGTCTCGCCAAGCTAGCCACTTCCCCAGTAAATGCTCATTAAGCCCGCCCCTCCCAAACACCCCCCCCCACCCCTCTTTTTGTACACGGAAGAAAGGCTTAATAGGCTTCCCACTGCACTTTGGGATTTTCATCACTAAATTCGCCTTCATTTTTCTCAAGGTTTGAAGCGTTTGAACTATTCCGTTAGGACATATAGCTGTTGTCGTGAACCATGGTTTTGTGTTCCTTCGTTCCTTCTATTTTCGTTCCAACATTTAGAGGGATCTTGTTCCCTTCTCTTATTCTTTATATATATATATGAGAAAAAAAATGCTAAAATTAAATGATGATGGACAGTAAAATCCCCGGGGCGCAGGCATACCAATTTTTTTTTTTTATCGTGTTCAACTGTGACGGTGAATTCATAAAAATCAACCTTTGATCCATAGTTTGGTAAGATGAAGTCTGTAATTACCATTACATGCTAAAAAAAATAATGAACTCCAGCTTCTAGCATCAAAGACTGCAAGCACTAATGTTTTCTTTATCTAATAATTTTTGTCATAATTTAGAATTTCTTCGAATGGTCTGACAATTACCAAAAACTGAATCTTCTCTAGAGGCAAAAATATTAACCATCTAGGTAGTTACCAAGTGATAAAGATTTGAAACTAAGGGGTTTGTTCCCTCTGTGGTCTCAGGTTCGAATTCTTGGTTGCTCATATGATGGCCATTGGAGGCTTATATGGTCGTTAACTTCAGGGCCCATGGGATTAGTCGTAGTGCGCGCAAGCTGACACGAACACCCACATTAAAAAAAAAAAAAAAAAAAAAAAGGTCAAGCAGAGACAACAACAGGGTTGAGCAAAACACCGCCCCAGACATCCCCAAAGAACAGGCTGCTCCCTTGTCCATTGTTGGCGCAGGTGCTGGTGCCATCTCAAAATCTTGAGCAGTAACAGTTGCAGAATACATTGCCACAACAAAGAAGATGGCCATAGCCTTGAATGTGCTCGCTAATTGAGCCATGAAGAAAGAAAGCAAAATATATGGCGAAAGAAAAGATTGGTGTTTTCGAGTATATTATAGAGCTTGTGTGCTTATTAGTGTTGTTTGTGTGCTCTTAGAGGGCATAGGGCAGAGGGGTATTTATAAAGGTTTTGCGGAGGATTGTGGGACCCCAAAACAAAACCTGGAACAGCTGTGCCATGTTCACAGGTGAGAACCTTTTGATTCCAGCATGTAAAGGCAACTTTTTGCTTGCTATCCACCTGATATGGGTTTGTTAAGCTGCTTCCACACTCAGGACCTCAACGTGTACTAAAAGTTCCAAGGGGTCTTTGAATACAATGCATGCTCTTTCCTTTTGGTTTCCGTCCAAAAGAATTTTCTGTCACATGTGATATGATCAAATTAAAATCAAACACCAATTACAAGATAATTCTTAGTTCAGAATGCGACAACGCATTAGACAGTGCAATTTCTGACTTTTCACGATTTCGAACCCTTCTAATTAGGTGAGCTGTGTCTGAAAACGATAAAGTCTCGATTGCTTCAGAAAAATTTTACAGCTATATTCGTTAAAACACATGTAAGGAAGGTTCAACAACCACATATGCA